ACACACACACACGGCCAGTGCACACCTGCGTCCAGTACCTGTGTATGAAGACCGCGCTTTCTGTCGTGCGGCCCGTCTACCTCCTCCGTGGCCTGTGACCCCCAGCTGTGCTCCTCAGACACATTTGTGGCAGTCTGGTTGGCTGGTCATTCTGTCCTAGGACTCCCCTGTGGTATTTCAGTGTGCTGAGACTGGGAAGGTCTGTCGGCTGCTGCGAAGTCCATTCCCAGGCTGCCACGTTGGCTGTGATTCTCCGTCCTCACTGACTGGGGTTGTGTGGAAGATCACAGTTCCTGACCGTACTGGCGTTCTAAGCCTTTCTTTTTCCCCTAGTACCAGGAGGTGATCCCAGGGCTTCACGTTGAGCTACATCCCCAGCCCTTCTTTTTCATTTTGAAACAGTATATCAGAGGAACAGATAGAATGCAAGATATACAAGTATATAAGAATTTGCAAGATAGACTTACAGCGGCTGCCCACAGAATTGGGGCCAGAGGATAGCATGGAAGAGAGACGAGGGAAGGTCAGCTACTGCCCCTGTGGGCCAACCCGACCCCGGAGCCTTCCCACCTTCCTGAAGGCCCCTTTGCACCTCAGCTCAAACCTTGGAGGACAGTACTGGACAGGGCTGTGAACTGGTGGTTTCCTTTCCTGAACCCCCAGGCCAGGATTCTTTTTTTCAGTTCAGAATTGCTCAGCCCATGGGTGAGCCGTTGCCAAGCACTGCTGCATCTTGCTTCCAAATCCAACATGGCACCAAAGTCTTTTTAAACATTTTACATTCATTCATTCATTTATTATTTATTTATCCAGTACTTTGGATTGAATCTGGGGCCCTCATACTGAACTACTCCCCAGCACCTCCCCCCTTTATTTTAGGCCAAAGTCTCTCTATGGTGCCCAGGCAGGACTCAAACTTGTGATCCTCCTGTCTCAGCCTCCTGAAGTTCTAGGATTATAGATATGTGCCAACACACTCACTAGTCACTCCTCCTGGACCGTCCTGCCATCTCCTGCTTTCCCCGTTTCCTGTTACCCTGTCTCTCCCATCCATAGCCAGAATTCAAGTCCAGTGTACACAACTTATACTTTCCTTGCTCCATTTGTTGTTATGAAAATGCTCTTAGCTCTTGGACTAGCCGACAAATTTCCATTTGCCATCCAGCCCTGCTGCTGGGGTGAAGGAACTTGTCCAAGGACCTGGTCCTTTCTGGAGTGCTGTGTTTCATTTCCAAGCTCACCCCTCAAGAGTTTTGGGATTAACATCATTGAGCTGCTGACGCTGACTTGCACATGGTGAAGGCGCTGGGGAACTGGGACCGAGCGGAAGGCAGGTGACATTTTTGATTCTCCAATCCAGAGAGTGAAGGAAGAGCTGCTCTGGAAGTGCGGAGCTTTGCCACGCTGCGTGTCAAGGTGAGTGAGTCAGTGAGGACCAGGGATGTGGGGACGAGCACAGCAACACCAGGGCCCCCCGCCCCGACCCACAGGTCTTGTTCTTCAGTTAGGGGCGCCAGGGCTGGTGAACACCAGGGAACAGGAAGTGGCCCAGGGCTTTACAGTGTGCGGAGAACAGTAGAACCCCTCAAAGAGCAGGATTCTTTTTCAGACCCAGAATTGCTGTACAGCATCGATCAAGTCTACCAGCAGAGGGGTAATAGTTTTGGCTCTATCAATTTTTAAAGTTACACTCCTTGGATGGAGGGAATTCCAAAGGACCTGTAACCCTCTGCAGTGTAATCACATCCTTCGTTTGTTCTGTTTAACATTCAACCATTAGCATGTTAAATACTTATTTACATACTTACATGAAACACTTGGTTTATTTATATGTACTTACAGTAGTGACTTCTCAGAGTGCATTTCTGCAGAAAGTTCCCTGCCCCAGCCTGCCCCGTCCCTCTGGAGCGGCCTGTTCTCCCTTCTGAGCTTCCACCTGGCCCTGTTGCAGGAACGCTGGACAGCGAACACAGTCGGGCTCATGACAGGCAGGCGATTCTTACTGCTTTCAACCTGATATGGGAAAGAGGGTCAAGGAAGGGCAGCTCCGGAAATAAAGGACCCACCTGTAAGAAATGGGGAGTCACAATCCGCTTGAAGGTGTCACGGCCTCAGGCTGGACTGATACAGTGAAGAAAAGGGAAAACTGCTGGGGCTGTTAGGCAAAACCAAGTCATCTTTTCCCCCCAAAATGTAATGATTTAAGTACATAATCCAGTCATAGGGTCCAAACATGGAAACTACAGGAAGTGTTCATTGGGAAGCTGAGTTTCAGTCTTGTCCTTTTGTCTCTGTCTCCTGGTCCCCTTATCCCATAATAGTCAAGTGGTTGGCCTATTTCCTGGATTTCTTTTCCACTGCACAAGGTCTTTGGCATGGTCTGCAGACGCTGTGCCATTGTCCTCAGGTTCCAGTTAACTTTTTTCATTGTTTTGTTTCGCTTTTGAATGTCAAATGCAATGTTTTTGAAAGTTAAAACGGCAGTGCTTCTGCTGTATGATTTTTCTGTCTCTCCTCCTCCACCTCTCCCTCCTCCAGTTTTAATCAAACCTGAATGTTTTATTGAAAGACCGTGATAAAGTCCTAAAGTTTTAACATTGGGTGTCACTTGGCATAGTTTCTAAACAAAATGCAATTGGACACAATTACAAGATGGTAGATGGCTTTATCACAGTAGAACTCTCCACACTCTGTTTAAAGTGTGCAGTCAGATGACACTCAGTGTTCGAGGCGTGCAGCCAGTATCGCCATCTAGAACACTTTCGTTACCTCAAAACGGAAGCCTGAGCTCACCAGCAGTCACTCCTACCCTCCCACCTCATCCCACATAGCCAGCCCCAGGTGATCACTAATCTTTCCTTCCTACAGATTTACTTATTCTGGAAATTTCATGTAAGTAGAATCATGTTTCATATGTAATCCTCTGTGACTGGCTTCTTCACGTAGTGTTTCCAGTGTGCAGTCTATGATGTGTGGATCAAAATTTCCTTTAAAAGGTCTAATATACTACACTTTGTTTATGCATCCATAAGCTGGTAGATTTCTGGAATATTTCCATTTGCTTTGATTCCTTTTTTTTTTTTTTTAACTGGGAACTGAATCTCGAGTCTTCGCAGTGAGCTAGCCTTTCTTTAATCCTGCAAGTTTCCACGTCACCCAGGCTGGGCTTCAACTTGTGATCCTCCTACCTCCGTCTCCAGGGTGCTGGGAACGTAGACACGCTCCGCCACTCCTGCCTCCCGCTCACTGCTCTGAGTAGCGCTGTTGTGCACACTGTACAGCGTGCAGGCCTTTCTGGGGACCTGTGTTCTCCTCTCAGTCGGATCACACGGTCTCTCCGTATTTAACACCAAGCTGCTTTCCAGAGTAGCTATACTCCTGACTTCCTGTAATCTCCACGTCGTCAGTGCTTCCTGTTACCTGCCTTTCGGTGACCCCAGTCTCCCATTATCTGCAGTTTCTCTGCCCACGGCTTTCATTACCTGCAGCCAGCCGACAGCACTGATGCCATCCCGGGCCACCACCTTCTGCCTCCGTCATCCCACACGGGCATTACATCATCTC